AAATAATTAAAATTATTTTTGAAGAAAAATAATAAAAAATATTTTTAAATAAAAATTTTATTTATTTTATTTATAAAATAATAAATTATTCTTAAAATTATATTTAAAGTTATTTAAAGACTTGTGGGTCTATAGTACAGTAGTAGTGCTTCCAGGTCATAATCACAAGGTCTAGAGTTCAATACCATCTGAAGACCAAGTGAAAATAGTACACACAATGAAACAATTCCATTGAATAATAAGTTAATACTTGTCATTAGATGCAGTCTGGCTATCTTACTGATACTCGAAATGAAAGGCTCTGCTGTAATATAGCGTTACCTATAGCTGATCTTTATTAGATCAGGCTGGTCTATAGGTATTATGGATGATCAGTATCTTATTGTTATCATGATAAGGTAGAGGAAAATGAGGCTGATCTCATAATCAACCAGGACAGAAACTGGATTAACAAAGATATTTCATCGATCTTATCGACTGATAAAGAAGTTATCAAGTTAAGAAGACTAAAGTCCTGAAGAGAGTAAACACTATATTAATGGGATATATAAAAGTATGGTTAAACTTACCTGTGATGAATCATTGGGAGACCTTGATGGGAGAAGGAATCCATAAACCATACTGAAGTTTCAAAACTGGGAATAGGTTAGAATATATGCAATGATATAATAATTAGATTACTTTATAAAATTGTTCTAGAAAAAATTAAGAGAGTATTGTATAGTTTCTTTTAATAGGGCTAGTTAATATATATAATATGTAATATATTTTTTATATATAAATAACCATATATATAATATTATTTCATAGTAAATAAAAACCATAAAAACTCCTTTTGAAAGGAAACTGTGTAATGAAACAAGAATCTTTTGAAGGGCTTTAAATTTTATTCCCCCTTCTCTTTTCCCTAGTATCAATTTTAGCAATTCATTGTTTTTCGGGATAATCAACAGTGACAAACTGTTAGCAATGACCCTGGTTGACTTAGAGATACTATTGCTAAGCTATTAGGAGAGTGAAATATTATCCCCTAAATTTGACATAGAGTATCTAGTTTAGACTTAGTTTTGTTTAGTTCAAACTAGTTTAGTGGACTTCTCATATTTTTTAAATAGTATAATTCTTTAACTAATAATGTACAATAATGAGTTAGTCACTTTGTGAAAGTCTATAAAATATTTAGGTATTTTTTAATATCTCAATAAAGACATACCATTGTGACATGATTGCGAGTTAAAAAAAAAAAAATTTTTTTTTAAAATTATTTAAATTGAATAGATAAATTTATTATAAAATCAGTTTTAATAATAATAAAGTTATATATAATTTAAAAGATTTAATAAAATATTAATGATCTATAGATTTGTAGTATAGTAGTAATACTTTCAGGTTATCAAATACTGTTTTTAAATTCAATATCATTATGAAACAATATTATTTATAGCTTTAGATAATATAAGAAAAACTTATTAAATTTATAATAATAATCTTATTATTTTTAATTAAAATTTCATATGATTATAAAAAACATAAAGATTATAAAATACTTTATTCAATTTTAATGTTATAGTAATTTCATCAAAAGATAAATTCTTATATACTTTTGAAGATAACAAAATTTGTATATTATAATAAATGAATTAATGAAGTTTAGTTATATTAGTTAAAAAAGAATTTTTATTAATTTCAATATTTGTTTAAGATTTTAGTAATTATTTTATAAGTAGCTATAATAAGTTATATAAAAAGGATAATTTGATAAAATAAAATAAAATCTAAAACTCTATGTAAGTAATTTTATAGATATACTATAATAAGTAGTATAAAAAGAATATTTGATGGGATGAAATATAAAAAGGGTTTTAGTTTTGACATAGATAGAGAAATAGCAAAACCTTTTTTGACAATAAACTATAAAGCATAGTTAAAAAGATATTGACAATTAGATTTATTGACACTTTTAGTTACTAAGTTTGAGGAAAATGGGTTTAATATACGTATAATTGCTTTATGTATAGAAAGAACTGTTATACAGTATACTAGTTGAAACTAATATTATCAATATAATTGTGCTTTGTAATTCCTTAATAAAAAAAATAAATAAAACGTTAATATTTAACTAGCCTAATATTTATAATTGATTTAAGTTATAAAATTAAATGATATAAATTTTTTTCGAAAAATTTTAAATTACAGTATTTTAAACATTATTTTTATTAATAAACTTACTTGTTATAAAAAATTTTGAAATTTCAATGCTTGTACTTTTTTTTTTTTTTTAATAATTGATAATAGATTCGGTGAAAATTTTGATTTAAAATTGATCATTGGGCGTTACTTTTGATGGCTATAGTACATTTTTCCTGATGACAGATTTATCTTTGTACCCACAATATTAAATATTAAATTTCGGGTCACGTGCTTGATTACTTATTAAAAATAGTCGTTACTATGATCAATCAATTGTGCGATCAATATGGTCAACTATTACGTGATAAGCGTCCACGCTAATCTCTTATCGATTCCGTAGTTGCGGACAATGAGATGGGTCGTAGAGGAGCGGATCAGAGGGATTTTTCTGGTGGCGGTGTGCGAATGTGGAGTACGTAATGGGAGAGATCAATGCCTAGCCCTTAATCATCGGGTTTCAAATTACCAATCGGCTTGATTGACTTTTCTTTTTTTTTTTTTTTTACGTGAACGCAACACTGGTCCAATCGGTCGAGGGCACGGGCGGAAAGCAATTACCATCACACAGAGTCAACGGGCTTTAATCTTGTCCTTCCGAAGACGGTTCAGCAAAGGCCTTTACAATAATAAATCTGAATAGATCACCTAAACAATAATGGTCAAGAAATTGAATGCATTAAGAAACATATCAAAACATGAACGTCTTCATATTCACGGGTATATCATGTAAAATCGAATACAGATACAATTCAGATTTGCGCAGATATTTATGAATTTTCTTTTGTCGCAATTACAAGTTTTTTCTTTCTTTTGTAAGAGTGATTTACAAATACAAAACGATATGAACTTATTACTGTAAAACACTGTTTTCAACGCCGTTTGTTGTGGCGGTCCCATTTTGTTCACTTGGATTTTGTTCCACCGGAACTTTGGTCGCGGTGGTGATGTTCGTACCCATTTGCCAGGCCGGAATTGACGGACGACCGGATGCCACACTTGAAAAAGGTAAGGGAGAAATTACAGTTGGGGATGTCACATTAGTTGTTGTAGGAATTGTGGAGGAAGCTGATGTTAGCGCTTCATTTATAGGTGATCTTTCAACAGATGAACGTCGATTAGTGAGAAGAGATTTTAGTGATTTAAGTTCACTTTGTAATTCGGTTAAAGACTGAGCTTGAGATTCTTTGGATCTTTCGATTAACTAAAATGCACCGTCGTAATCACCTTTCAATCAATAAATAGCTCACGATAGGATTAACATGGGGAAGGTAACGTGCAACTATGCCATACCTTTGGGATCAGATTTCGAATGGCATCAACATCTTCCTTTAAATTTTTCAAATCATTATCCCTTTTTCCCTCTTGAACTTTCATATCTTTTAGCAAGCTATCTAATGTTTCTAATGTCTCTTTAATCCGAGATGATTGTTCATCAATATTCTTCCTTGCAACCTTAGTGTCTGCTTTGACAATGTCCAATGTTTCGGAAGTAATTGTGAATTGATCGGAGAGGAATTGTTTGTCACGTTCCAATTCATCAGCCGTAGGCGTTCTCAAAAGAGGACCAATGTATTTCTGCAATTAGAAAAATATTTAGTTTTAATTGAGAATTTTACGGGAAGGGTTGTGTATTTCACCGCATGCATACCTTTGCGACTTCCACTATGGCATAACCAATTCCACCAATGAGAACGGCACCAATAAAAAAATCGCGCCAGTCCAATCTTGGAACTGGAGGTGGTGGAGCAAGGGCAACTTGTGTAGGGACCGGTTGAACCGGTGCCTGTGAGAGCCCCACAACAGCAGCAGACAATTCATTATTGCCGCCATCTTTCACTTGTCTTATTGCTTCCTCAATTTCATTAGTCGTTAGACCCTTAGACTCTAAAAATGCTACCCGTTTTTGCAGCGGGGAATTCTGTACTTGTGGATCCTTGAGAAAGTTCACTGCTGATTTCACCAAATCTTGTCGAACTGACATCTTTTCGTTTCTCGTGAATTCTGAATAGAAATTCAGCTCTAACACATGATCATGTTCTTAGAATTATATGTACGGTTCATTGATATTTAAATTTAGGTTTACAATCAGAATTCAGTGATTGGCCAACAAGTTGTACGACAAACTAAGTAAGTTAGATAGCCACGGACTTTTCCGACGTTCTCCATATTGATAGCATCAAGTCTCCTTTTGTGTGAAGCTCAATAATAATGAGTATCTTTTTAAAGAAAAAGGGTTCTGTAGATATTCTGACCGATTTTAACATCAAGCAACTCATCTTGAAAATTTGGAGAAAAAAAAATTGTTTGATCACTTGATTCGATGTTCTCGTGGAGCGAGAAGATTCTTCATCTCCAAATTCCACACAAAATTTTGTTTATTACTGTATGTACTGTATAAATGATCGGAATATTTTATAAACAATCAATCATCAATTGCAAATTGAAGTATGGCTTCGATTGTATACGAGCCACATAATGTTAATGTTTGAATGCGAAAATTGATAATTCAAAAAATTTTTGCCAATGGCTTAGTCTGTTCTTTTGTCATAATGAAGAGGGAAAGCCACACCAAATCCTGATCTACGAAAGAGACCGTGGTTCGGGCAGTGTCCTACGCACATTTCTGCATGCCCTGTGCCATTCGAAATATAAACTTTGCAAAGAAAGATTTCTTTACACTCTCTCCTGTACAGCCATCTAATGACACGTACCTTCCAAAAATGCACGAGTTTCGATTGACTGCGCCACCTTGGAACGAAGTTGGGACATATAGCGCGCACACGAATTGGAACATTTTATATAATATTTATTTGTTTAATATTGAAATAGGAATGAATCATGGGGAAAGAAAAATCTCAAAAATTATAGTACAGTATGTACAATACATACATATATATACAAAAAAAGATGCTGACAGTTACTATAATTTCTTTCAGGGATCAAAAATTCATGAATGTATTCCTCCACCATCCATTGATTTAATAAACCCAACCTTACGTTGTTCCTTCCAGTATCAAACCGAGAACTTGACAAATTGTTGGATGTAATAGAGTAACCGTGACAGTAACAAATGTCATCAGTTCCAAGAATCCGAATTTTTATTGCTCTAATATTGGGATCGCCTTTGTTGTTGTTGATACTTGTTTGTCCCGTCCTAGGTAAATAGTTCGACTGTTAACGAGTAAACATTTGTGGATTGTGTAAATTGATTTCACGCGTTCTCCGAAACCGTGCTTCCTTCCCGTGGGATGCGTGCACGCAATTCAGAGATTATTAAAGTTATAACTTTCAACAACAATCCTGACGAACTCAAATTTGGGAATGTCATTCTTGAGTACTGGTAATGCATTGCTTACACGTGCGCGCATTGTGTGGTATTCATCTCATCCCTCTTTTTTTTTTTCAATAGTTATTTGGGGGTTTCCCTCTTTGTGCCTGGTAAATATGCTGCCTACCTTCTTTGCCACATAAGATGCGCCACGGACTAATTAGAAATCCTCGTATATGCATAAGTTTCACTGATAATTTCCGTAATATGCACGAGATGCAGGATGGAAATATTTTTCAAGGTTAAAGAAGAAGCCATGTATTTATCGATTAGTATTCATTCCGAGGTTTCCTTTTTGAAAAGCGACATCCCGAGGAAATTTATTTATTTATTTATTTATTTTGGATCCACGGATAAAAAGCACCGTACTCTTCATTTGGACCGTCATTGCAGGTACACTTAATTTAATCGATTATTTTGATATATATATATTTATTTATATTTATATTTAGTTTAACCTCTCTTCGAAAATTTCACCTCTTCTATATATATAAAAAGCCGTCTACACCATCCTAACTTATGGTGAATTATCACCCGTTCCCTACTCCTGTCCATCAACTTTCGAATACTCGTCTCAGTTGGTTCACTTTGCATGCCAAATCAGATTGGCCAACGTAATTACCATGTGGTTGTTCGTTGTCTATGGAGTTTTATGGACAGTGTCCTACTATATGGGTATGTTACTTAAAAAAGAAGACTTGAGGATTTTAGGACTTAGTAAGGAAGATAGCAGATTCGCAATCTTTAGTTATCATTACTCGAGTCGAGACGTGTTGAAAGGTAGAGAGATCGATATGCCGTGAATTATTACAGTGGGGAAGTGACCTTTGGTACCCAAACCTATTCCTCTATCTCCATTTTTTATTATTTACCCGAGAACAGATGTTGCATTGATGAAATATGCAGTAAATTGAACTTTCCTACGCTGTGATATAAATTATGTGAATTGAAATGTCATGTGACAAATGATTCTCACGAGTCCTTATTAGGCAGCTCCTTAAAATTGGATCATTAATAGTTAAATGGTGTTACACAATCATGTTCGTCCAATTATAAAGGCGAGCAAACAGGAAATCTCGGATAACCGTTTACCTTATAACTTGTAAAGAGAATCGTAATTTTCACCCGTTTCTATTTTATAAACATAATCAGAATGTCCGAAGAAGAATTGCTTTTAGGTTCGGATATTGAGCTCACGTCAAGCGGTATCTCTACCGCGAACAATGCGGGAGTTCACTCGCGAGTAAGGTTTCAAGAACCAGAGACGGCTGGTTCCACGAGTACGCCGAGCATGCCTCAATCGAGATCAAAGAAACAACCGTATCCTCTAATGATAAATACTGATCAATCTACCAGCAATGCTTCTGGTAGTCGTTCCAAACCCATTGCACCATTACGAACTACAAAAACTTCACAAAAGTTAGTGTTGCTTCCCGAAGAAACTGGTGCGCCGGCGCCGATGGCCACTCTTATCGAAGATTTGTCTGACGCCGCCGAAACACCCATCACCCCATCAGTTTCGCAGCCGATTTTTGATTTCTATGAACGCACGGATGCAGAAAGGATGAATAAAGAAGTTAGAAATGACGCAAAATATCCAAGGTAATTAGAGAATAAAAAATCCAATACGATCTTTTTGTCATTTACCTTATGACCATTAAATAATTGTCCTGCTTGACAAAGGGTGACAGCCTATTGTACAGCTGAAGGATATTACCTCGGAGTTCTCATGGAATTCCTGAAAAAGGAACACAATGTTCAACCAAAGTATTGTACGGATGCTTACTTATGTTTCTTTGTGATCTGCAGACATGCAATTTACTAACTATTATCTTCCGGTTGGAGGATAGGCGATATGATGAGTGCGTTTACGCTCCATATCACTTTCCATTACTTTCCGGGCGAAATGCAAAGCTCATTTCGTCAGCTCCCACGAGATCGCCGAATGGTCATACGTTCATGGACAGGCAGATTGAGAATTACGAGAATGGAAATGGCATAAATCCATATTTCGTGACCGACGAAATATTTGATAATGATGAACGTGGTGTTGAAGTGCCAATGAAGACAACTCCGAGCGCCTTAGATAACATAGGAGAAATTTTTTATTTTGATTATGGAGTTGTGGTTTTTTGGAACCTCACGGAAGAGCAAGAATTCTTGTGCCTTGACGACCTTGCTTCAGCCGGTGTTACCGTTCGTCCGTTGAAGAAAGAAGATATTGAAAGCGAGACTTTTCATTTTCAATATGACTTCAATTCCACCAGGCAACCCAGAATTTTTAACGACATGATTACCTTGAAGACCGACAACCACATGATTAAACTCACGATCAGCCATGCCCTGAGTCAGAGTACAAAGTTGACTTTATACGAGTGGCAGATGGAGGATACAATCGAGAAGACAAGTCATATACCGAAAATGTTGGCTCAAACAGGGAGGTTAAATTTGTACGTAGTTGGATGCGGTCATCAATTGTAGGAAACGCATGCATGTATGCATATATGCGGAAGAGTTAATTGCTTAGTTGATAACTAAAACGAATTAATCAATCCTACAGAAATCGTACCCTAGTCACAAAGTTAACCGGTGAATTATTCAAATTAAGGATGCAAGTCAATCTTGTTTCCAATGTATTAGGTACGTGATTGCGTGAGTTCAATCGGATTTTGGCCCCTTTCACCTACCTATTCATTTCTCTTCAACGCAGACACTCCAGAAATATTTTGGTCCGAACCCTCTTTACAACCTTTGTACAATGCCATTCGAGGTGAATTGACACTCGGAAACGCGCGTTTTTGAATTTTTTTTATGAATGTTCTAACATTAATGTTTTTATTTATTGGCGCAATTCAGCATACCTCGAGATTTCTCAACGGGCTAAATTGCTGAATGAACGATGTAATGTCCTAAGCGATTTACTTGACATGTTACGCGAAGACGTTGGCAACACCAATATGACAAAGATCACGTGGATTATCATTTGGTTGATCGTGGTTGCAGTTTTGGTGGCAATTGTAAGTGACTTGGTGGTTAAAAGGTTGTCGATCTCCAATTAGTCTTTAACCACCTTTTAATTTCCTCTAGGGCGAGATTGCTGTGAAAGCGTTAAACCACTATGGTTAATTACAAAACATTATGATATTCGACCTTTGGTGGCATATATATATCAGTGTATCAAATGATCTAAACAATGCATATAAAAAAAAATTTTTTTTTTTTTTTGAGAATCTAATTAATAAAAAATTATTGTTGCATTATTTTTATGTTTCTATAAAAATATAGAGTTTTGTTCAAATTTTTACATTAATCATGTTTCTTGAGGAATTATTTATAAAAAAAAAGAATAAAAATATTTTAATAATTTTTAATACAGTATTTTATTATTTTTTTAATTTATTGTGAAACAAAGTAAAATAGAAAATAAATCAATTTTCAATTATTATTATTATTATTATTATTTATCCTTGATTAAGTTAATAATATTTAATTAAAATAAGTTATATAATTTTCATATATTACTAAAACTATTTGTATGATTACCTTAATTTAATACAACTTAAAAAGTGATTCATTATTTTATTTATAATTTAAATAAGTACTTTTTCAATTATAAATATTATTATCACTATAAATTAGTTTTATTTATTTATTTTTTTTTTAACCCACAGTCAGGTCAACATGGCATGTCTTTATTGTATATATGCAAGGATATTTACAAATATTTTGACTTTTACATACTAACTCGCTCATTGTTGAAAACCTATTTCTCTAGATGCAACTTAGGAAATGACATTTTGCTCCTTTACTAACTTGGATAAATCCTCTAATTAATAAAATCATTGCCTATAGATCATTACTATAGATCATTCTAAATTCTGTCTATAGTTAAAAATCAAGCCATTTAATACCATAATAAATTCAATCCTTAATAATTTCCATATAATTCTTTCTCTCCTTTTTTTCAAAAGTTTTTTTCTTCAGGTCTTCTAAGGATATTGAAGATTCTTTCTGTTCTTGTATAGCCTGTGCATTTGATCTATACCCAGACCTTTTAAATTTTTTATCCTTTTCAGTAATATTTTACTTATTTCCTACTCTATTACTTTAGTGCAATGGTTGTTCCAAATATTCTCTTTAAAGTTTTTCCTCACTTTATGATAAAGCTTATTGATTATGCTTTGTATGTATACTAGAGAAATTTTTAATTATGCTTTAAGGTAATTCTTCAAAGAGATGATTTCATTTTTTTTATATACAGTATCTACAAATAGTGTTGAAAAGGCTTCTATCAGATTGCTTGGTCTCATCTAGCCATTTACTTGTCCAATTATTAGTTGTAGTGTGAACTTCTTTCTTATCTTTAATTTCTTTATAGATATAGTGATTAATTTCTCTTTTGCTTTTTGCTATATGTCTTCTCTGACTTCTTTAATAACTGGACATTTGAAAAGGTCTTCTAATATCTCTTCTTAAAGTTCACATACTGGGCAAGTCATTATAATATAAATATCTGGTTTTCTTTTTTTGAGTATCTGCAATACTGGAAGTTCATTGTGGATTAAGTTAGTTAGAAAGCTTTTATCTTTATCAGCTTTAACAGAGATATCAAAGATATTAGATAGATTAAATTGATTCCAGAAGGTTAATCAATTTATTATTTTATCTTTTTGAATCCACAGCTCTTGAATCTTTTTCTATACTGTCCAGTCTTTTATGATTTTTTTTCTGTTAAATATTTTAACAAATTCTTCAATACTAATCTCTATTGTATATTTACTTCATATAACTATTGTATGAATCTTTTCTAGCTCTGATAGTTGATTTCAGATTATCAGGTTCTCATGTCTAGCTTGTTTAGCAAGTAGATCTATCTAATTATTGAACTTGTTGATTCCATAAGTCTTGATCTTTGTAATTTCCAAGGTAAGATCTTTCTTTTTCATTAAATATTACTTCATATTGATCAGTTGATAGTCTTTGTCCATCTTCTTGTTAATATCTCTATTTGTGAACTGATGAAATTCTATGTTGTAACTACAATATTACAATCCGAGAAGATTAAGACTGTTGTATTTCGAGGAGCAGTGAATAGTGCAGTAAGGATGGCCAATATTTCTGCCCTAGTTACCAATAGCCATATTGATGTCTCTGCAGAGAATTGTTTTTCAACTTTGCTATTCTCTATTAGAACCCAAGCAAACTCTATTTCAAGTTCATTATCTTTTGTCCATTTTTTATAGGAGCCATCTGTATAAAAAGTAAACTGATTAGCCATGCTCCTTCTATTGTATTGCAAAATATCTATAGGTTTTTCTATATATTTGTCTGATTGAATAGCTTTTTTTATTAGCACGGCTTCCCAGTTTTCTACTTGGATTTCCATTTCTACAGGTCTGAAAATAGATGAAGCTAATATCTATTGCCTTGTAGTTATTTGCCACTCTATGGGATTGCCTAGTAAAAAAACTTGTTTTTCTTTTCTTAAATTTTCTTATTTATTTAGTTATGTGAGAAGATGGATTTGTGATGGAACTACTTCTAAAGTTTGAAATAATCTATCTAATTGTAGTAGAGTATAGTTTCTAATAGGATCATATGATGATTGATATGGGGTGAACTGGATTGTGTTATTTGAAAATAATGTTTTTCCTAATATATTAGTTGAAAAGTTGGAGTAAACTGTCCAGTATATTTTTCTCTTATCTGGGTATGCTGAAAATATTTTAGTTTGCATGTTGTAGTCTGTCTAATCTAGTCCATATAATAATTTTCTTAAATGGTCTTAATTATCTGTTATCTTTTTATAAATCTTTTTGTATTAAGAGGGGATTAGTCCTTTGCACTTGCTAAAGAGAATTTGAATTGCTCTTTATTTCTTAAGTGTTATTATAATTATATTGATAATTTAATCCAGAAATATGATTTTATGCTTACATAGTGATAGAATGACTTTCTATCATTTTGTAGGATTGACTTAATAGATAGGATACCTCCTTGGTAGTTAAAGATTTCCTTCCATCTCCAACTTTGAAATATAATCTGTAGATTTTTAGCCAGGGCCAGTGTTGCAATTACCAAATTGCCTTTAATTAACTTGTATGAGTCTACAGGATTAACGAAGATATTTCTAGATTCCCAGCCTTTAATCTGGCTCTGTTTCAATTAGATTATAGTTACTATGCTAGGGACTTCACTATTGTTAAGTTGATAGAATTATACTAATATATGACTTTTCAACTGTATTTCCAAAATACTTTTAAATCTATATATTTCTTTGTTATGGATACAACTGTTTGGAATTATTCTATAAATTAAAGCTTTATTCTTGAAAACTTTCCTAAATATAACTATTAGATCATCATATATCTTCTCATTCAGATGTATATGTTGCATTCTATATTCTATTCTTGAAATCAAAACTCTATTAATAATATATCAAACATGTTTTTCTGTTAACTTCTTTTTAGTTATTGCTTGAATTACTACCCTGATTTCTGATTTCATTGAATTAATCATGTTTTGGTTCTTCTGTTTTGGTCCTAATAAAATACTAAGGAATTTGGCTTGATCCTTTTTATTGATCTCATGAATTATGATATTCATTATTCTAGTTTGAACCATTCCAGGATCTTAAGGATTTCGATTAATAGTGAGGAGAATTGACTTTGTCACATTAATTTGTGAGTCATTTGCTATGTAAAACTTTTTTGCTTCTTTCAAAATACTTTCAGGTCTTTTTTTGATTTGGCAATTCAATTCATATCATCCATATATGCAATTATTACTTACCTTAGGGAGAGCATGATCTTTTCCTCAGGTTTATAAAAATTGAATAATTATTCTTCTTTCATAGTATAATCCAGTATTAAAAATGGGTTTCTAAAGGGGAAGGCAGGGACAAAAATCAAATGTCTCTCATTAGAAAACATTAAAATTTTTAAATTAATAACTATAAAAAAAGTATTCACAATTGTTCTTCATTATTCAAATTATTGATTTATAGTATTTCCCGACTTTTGTCCCTAATAAAGTGAAGAGCTATGAATTTTGTCTCTCAAAAAGGGACATAAATAATCTGCAAAATTTTATATGTTAAATATTTTAGGGACCCATTATTATCCAGTGTAGTGTTATTTTGAATTTTATATAGCAATAGATCATAAAAAATTCTTCATAACAGTGGAGAGATCATTTCTCCTTGATCTATACCATCTCTTGTAACTATTGAATTAGAGTGTCCATTAGAAAGAATAATACAAAACTTTTGTCTTTGAAAAAATTTATTATAATCTTTTTAATAGTTGTTGAAATTCAAATCTGATCTATAGCTTTTTCAAGTATAAAGAGAGATATTGTGTTATATGCCTTAGTAGTATCTTGAAAAAGGATTCATATTTCTTTTTTCTTTTTTTCGCTTCTTCACAAATATTATTCAATATATGGATGGGTTCTGTTATACTTTTTCCTAATAGATCAGCAAAGTTTGAACCTTTGAGGATTTTATATTGTTTACATATTATTGATAGATGATTGCTAAGAATCTTGGTAAAGTATTTCTGAGTAGTTTCAAGGAGAACAATAGGTCTTGTGTTGCTCAATTGATATTTTCAGGGCTTGAGTTTAGGGATAGAATAGATGTTACTACTTTTTTATTTCTTAGGTATTTGTCCAATGCTTAAGACTTTGTTGAACAGTAAGCATAAGATTTTTTTTCCTTTGGTACCTAAGTGTTTAAGTATTTTATAACTGATATATGACGGATCAGCAGCCTTTTTGTTTAAGAGGTGTTGTAAAGTAGCTTTGAATTTCTATATTTTGATTTTCTCTGTTAGTGATAAATACCATATTGGATCAATTCATTCTTTAGGTTAGTATTCTTTTTTCAAGAGAAATCTAGACTTTTAAAGTTGATATTTCTTTGTTTAAAAGTTTCTTTATAATAGTCTTCAGTCTTTCATTTGATGGTTTGAGAATTAGTAGCTATATATTCAATTTCTTCCTAATTTTTAGTTAAAACTCAGTCTAGTATAATTCGAAGTCTTTTGCAGTTTAAGATAGAGCTTAGCATCCATTTTGGATTAAATTTGAGGTCTTCACATCTGTTTTCTAGGGCTTTTTTGATT